AGTCAGTTGGTGGCGAAAGGCATACATCTGGAAGCCGACAGTACCACCCAGGAGTTCAAACTGTACCACGGGAAGGGCGGCCTCTACATCGGAAAGGCGATTCTGAAGAAAAATGTCTTCGTCCTCGACTTCGTCCCAGACCTGGGCACCGCAGACAGTGACGGGATCGTCACCTTCACATCCTGGACGCACCCGCCGGATCTCGACCCCGACTTCAGTCCGGAAGGCTTCTGGTATTCACATACCATTCCTGAAGCAGAACGAACACGTGCGTTAGTAACAATACAACATTCGGCAGCAGCAGAGACAACATCGGCAGTAGCAGAAGCAGCAGCAGAGACAACATCGGCAGCAGCAGAAACATCGTCGGCAGCAGCAGGAACAACGTCGGCAGCAGCAGGAACAACGGCACCAGTCCTCGTTGACGAAGCACCACCAACACCCGCACAGCAGCTGAATCCGACTCAACGGGAAGTCCACAGAAGCGCAAACTTCATCGCCAGCTTCTACTCCAACTCCGACGCGTATCAACGCTCACCCGGACACCGCGCCTCGGAAGATATCTGGCACGCACGCATGGGACACCCAAGCAACATTGTGTTAAACAACACAATAAGAGCAGGAGTCCTTGACAAGGACTCATTACTACTACTCGACGGCAAAGAACTTCAACGAGCACGAGGAACTTGTCTTACCTGCCCCGAAGCCGACTTACCACATCGGCCGTTCATTCCTCATCACAACCCGAGCGCACCCGCGTACGCACCACTCGAGAAGGTGTACAGCGATATCCTTTTCAATCGGGAACCAGGACAAGTTACATACAACTACATGATCACCTTTATCGACGCCGCCACCCGTTACGTCTGGCACCTAAACCTGCCCAGCCGCGACATGGCACTTGCAGCCTTTGCTGCCTGGCTACCAGTAGCAGAGAGAGAGTCGGGCGCACAGCTGAAAAGCTTCCAGTCAGACGGAGGGGGAGAATACACTTCTCAGCGATTCAAGCAGTACCTGGCGGAAAGGGGAATCAAGCAGCTCCTCTCTCTTCCCTACGCCCATCAGCAGCAAGGTGTGGCAGAAAGAATGAATAGGACTCTGCAGAACAGCATGCGCAAACTGTTACGTGGCATGCGGCTACCCAACCACCAGTGGCCTGCAGCAATGGACCACGCCGTCATGCTGCACAACTTGATGTTGTCGTCTTCACTTCCGAACAACGCGTCACCGCATCTGCTGTGGACAGGGAAACAGGGCAGCACAAAAATGTTACGAGTTTTCGGGTGCATGGTACAGTGTCAGTAGATCTGCACTGTGGATGCCCGATTGATCCTGGAGAGGGTTACAGGCGCGTTCGCCTGGGGGGTTATGGGCGCACTGACCCGCTACTGAAACAAGCCCTTGTATCCCAATGGTCTAGTGGTTGGGATTCTGACATACAGTACCGACCCCCAAAAGCACGAGCGGGAAGATTTTCACAACGCGCACAGTGGGGACTGCACCTCGGCATCGAAAAGAACTACAACGCGTGGAAAATCTTCGACGTCCACTCCAAGGAAACAGTAGCAGCACGTGATGTAATTTTCTACGAACGACTCACGCTTCAGACGTACCTTGCCAACTTGCACGACAATGAAGATCCCACAGGTGGCTTTCGTGGTGACCGAGCCTTCGCCTCAGCAGCGGACGAAGCAGACTGGGACGAGCAGAATGTGGACAACGCATCAGAAGAAGCCGGACCTCTCCCGTTTTGCTCCGTCAACGTCCCCATGGATGAAGACAACCCTCGCGAAAGCGCCAACGCCGAAGTCTTCTACCACTTCGCCGACAACGGTTACGTAACACCTGCGACAGCCAACACTCACGAAGCAGAACGGATAGGGCCGAATTTCATACCCGACCCAGAAGCGGGAGACGAAGCAGCTTATCCCGAGGACACAACTCTTCCCCGCTACTCACAGACTGGACTGCAGATTCTCGGCCTCGTCACCGCAGTCCACGGCACCTCTCTACCTAAGGAGCCTGCGACGGTTCAGCAGGCTCTGGGGGGGGAACACAGGGAAAAATGGCGTGAAGCCATGGATAGAGAGTTAAAGGCGCTGGAGGAACGGAACACCTGGAAAATTGTCCCCATCAGCGTGGCAAAGAATTAGACCATTCTCACCGGGAAATGGGTCTTCCGCATTAAAACGAAAGCACACGGCACAATTGAGAAATTCAAAGCACGCTGGGTTGTGCGTGGATTCGATCAGGAGCACGGACGGGACTTCACCGAGACATTCGCCCCGGTCAGCCGACATACCTCACTTCGAATTCTCCTCGCGATCGCCGCTATGAAGAAGAAGAAGCTACGGCAAATCGATGTCGCCAACGCGTTCCTCTACGCACCTGTCGACGCGGAAATCTTCGTCGAGCTCCCACATGGTACCCACGGGGAACCGAACCAAGTCTGTCAACTGCTAAAATCACTCTACGGGATCAAGCAAGCTCCGCGGCTATGGCAACAGTACCTACACGCTCGCCTCACTCGCATCGGATTCCGTCAACTGCCTCACGACCAAGGGATGTACCGACTCACCAAAGACACCGACTACATTCTGTTGATCGTCTACGTAGACGACTTACTCTACATCGGCTCTACTGACGACATCACCACCTGGTTCGAAGGGGAGCTACAGAAGGACCTCACACTCACGGTCTCCTCTAGCGTCACACAGTATCTCGGCTTAAACATTCGGGAAGAAGAAGGCGCGATCTACCTCAACGCCGCTAAGTACGCCGACACCATCGCCAAACGCTTCGCGCTCACACCTACCACCATTTCTACGCCCTACCGCTACACGACAGGAAACCACAATGAAGGATCCTCTCTACTCAAATCCGTCGGGATACGCGACTACCAGAGAAAGCTGGGCTGCCTTCGCTTTGCAGCCGTCACCTGCCGCCCAGATCTATCCTACTCCGCAAGCCAACTCGCCACCTACCTCAAAAGACCTGAAGTAGAACACTTGGCGGAGCTCGACCGCGCTCTCCACTACTTCGTCAGTACCTCTACGATCGGTCTGACCTACTACAAGAACACAACTACACCGACGAAATTAATCGGCTACGTCGACGCCGATCACGCTGGCGACTCAGACAATAGGCGCTCCCGCACTGGCTACATCTACCGCCTCGAACCTATCGGACCGATCTCCTGGCAATCGAGCAAGCAGGAACTAATCGCTCTCTCGCCAGCTGAAGCAGAATATATTGCACTCTGCTCAGCCACCAAGGAAGGACTCTATCTTCGCGAGCTGCTCGAAGAAGAGAAGCTAGCCGAGTTACCCAGCTTCACTCTGTTCTGCGACAACCAATCTGCGATTCGCATCGCCAACAAAAGTGGATTCGCGAACAGAACGAAGCATATCGCTCTGCGATATTTCTTCGTGAAAGACGAGATCGAGAAGGGGAAACTTGAACTATCCTGCTGTCCCACGTCCGAGATGGCAGCTGACTACTTGACCAAGAAGCTCGGAAAACAGAAGTTCGAGTACTGCATGCTGCTGACTGGACAAAGCCACGTCACCATCAGCGACACTCCAGAAGCGAAGGGGAGTGTTGGGAACAAATAATCTTAAGCGCCTCTGTCGTGTCGAAACACCAAGACACAAGCGAAGCAGCGCATATGGAGGCACCAGCGAGTCAACCCTCGGAGGTTGATGTAACCGCTGGAGGTTACGTGAAAGTCAAAGGTCAGCGACCTTTGACCTGACAAATGCAGCGCGACAGCAAGGACACACAACTGACTCGACATTGAGCAGTTGCCCGAGTCGCACTGTATCGAACCGCAACAGTCAAGTAGTTATAATGTCTCTTCATATTCTCTGTATTCATATATATATATATATATATCCTTGTATCTCTTTGCTTTAATCAACTTACTTTGCCCTCACATACTAGCGCAAGGTGGTTCAAATACCTTAAAACGCTTCCGCTACTACATCACTTTACTCAGACTTTAACTCTACCAAAGATCCTAAAGGGCACTCAGCCCAACAAATGCCAAGTTATGCACCACGAAACACGGCATCCAACGCGATGCCATGCCATGCTATCCACGCACAGCCCTTGGAAATTCCCCCCTTCTCCAACCCGTCACACCGCACCCCACCCCTCTCCCTTCTCTGCTCGCAGCTTTCACGTCCCTCTCACGGCCGCCCTCGCCTACCCTTTCCTCTTCTTCACCTCTTAGGTACTTATGATTCACCACCGCTTGAGTACCTTCTGTCAGCAGCGTTGTCCCCCTAGGTGTTCATCTACGGCGAAATGGCGAATCGCAGAATTTGTTAATGGAGGAATCTCGCCTGTCTCGTCGCCTTACCTGCTGCTGAACGCGCGACTCGACTTCACTCGGGCCATAACCGATTATAGGGGCATAACCAGTTCAGGGGATCTTCGTGCGTGCAAGGTATCCTTGGGTCTGCACGGGCCTTGATTGATGCTCCTGCACAGCTTGCGCAGCTTCGACCAGCGATATTCGATATCGGTCGTCGTCTTTGTCGCTTTCTCCCTTTTCGACTGCTCTTCGCTCGCTGGACGCCTCCCTTTTGTCGCCCAGAACCGATTACATCGTCCCTTGTCTTGAGGTCTGTTTGGCTTGGTGACAAGACGAATCACCCGGAATCAAGCATTTGGAATTGATCACCCGGCGCGCCATGAGCTGGTTCGTCTTAGAGGAGATTAACTCGCTCCCCGCGTCGCGCGGCGGCGACGACGGCCAGTCCGTTCCGTCCCGAGATGCGGCCGCTGGCCATGGCGAGTCGCGGCGCTGGAGAGCCGCGTCGCGATCGGAGTGGAGATCAGAGTGGCGATCGGAGATGAGAACGGAGTATAAGGAGCAAGGCGAGACGGAAACGCACCGCGGGAGGTCGGAGGCTAGAGGGCGAGGGAGGGAAGAGCGGGAAGAGAGGGAGCGGGTGGAAGGAAGGCGGCGGATGGAGTCGACTGAGCATTACGTGATGCATAGTCACGGCGGATTGCACGGCGGACTGCACGGCGAACTGCACGGCGGCTCGCACGCGCAGCACGATGATGTCGAGCTATCCGACAGCCAGGGACAGGTGGACAGCGATGGTGACGTGGCGGACGATTTTATCGAGGTGGAGCAGTGCCCGTATCCCCGCGATTCCCGCGATCACTTCCGCGAGAGGAGGACTCGCGGCAGTTGCAGCCGTGGAGCAGGAATGCGAAGCAGCAGGAGAGCGAGGAGGGCAGGTGAGGTGATCGACCTCACTGCGGATAGCGACGGCAGCGACGGCGCTGCTGATGCCGCTAATAACCGCGCGCGTGGTGCCACGACTACCGCCACTGCCACTGCTGCTGCTGCCGCTGGGTGGGGCAGCGAGTGGGGCACAGCGCCTCCCGAGTGGGCGAGTGAGGACGTGAGCGTGGACGTGGAGTGTGCGGCCTGCCACGTGCTCATTCCCATCGACCGCTCTCTGGATCTCCCCCGCTGCTCCTGCCTGCTCTGCCTCTCCTGCGCGCGCGCGTCCTTCCGCCCGCAGATGCTCGAGCTGAAAGCGCAGCTAGTGAGTGAGCAGAACACGGCGAGACACGTAGCAGACAAGGGAGAAAAGGCAGGCACGGGGTTATCTGAGAGGCGAGAATCGCCTGCGAGATCTTCCGATAGCAGAGATTCCATGGCCTGCCCGTGCTGCGGACAGCCAGTCCCAGCCCTCCACGTGCAAGCGCTCCTGCCCGAAGAGTTCCGGCAGTGGGAGGAAGCGGCGACGTCCGCCGCCCTCGCGGCGTTTTCCCGGGCAGATGAATTTGTCCGCTGCCCGGGATGCGACGTGCTGGTGGAGAAGCTGCCCGCGGAGCCGCCGCCGGGCGCAATTCTCTCCGGAGTTCCCGAGATCGACAGGACGGCGCCAATGGCGGAGCGAGACGAAGAAGGGCGCGTGCTGTCGCGAGAAGCGATCGTGCACAAGGCTGGGAACAGGTTCCGGTGTGGAGAGTGCGCGGTGGTGTTCTGTGGGTCGTGCCGTGCACACCCGTACCATCTGGGGCTGTCGTGTGCTGCTTACGCTGCCCGGCTTGCTGCTCCCAAGTGCTTGTACTGTGGGGAGAGAGTTGAGGGTGGGATGGGAGATGGGAGGGAGGGAGACGGGGCGGGATGGGGCAGTAGTAGTGGTGGTGGTGGAGGAGGAGGAGGAGAAGGAGGTGCAGGCGGGGGGGAAGGAGGGTCTGGAGGGGGGCAGAGAGGAGAAGCAGCAGCAGAGGGGGATTGTGGAGGGAGTTCTGGGTTGGAGCGCAAGAGGCAGCAGGAGCTTTGTGCAGCAAGGCAACTAGTCAACCTTATAGCGCCTCCTGACGTCAGCCACAGCAGCAGCAGTCACAACAACAGCAACTGCAGCAGCAGTAACGGTGCCAGCGGTGGCAGGATCGGGTGGGCGTGGAGTGTGAGGGAGATGAGAGCACTGCTTGCTGCAGTGGGCGCAGACACAGGGTGGTGTGTGGAGAAGAGTGACTTAGCAGCAGTGGCAGCCCTGGCAGCGCGTGTGTGCGGTGAGGAGCAGTGCAGGGAGAAGCTGAAGGCTGCATGCACGCGCACCAGCCCCTGTGGCCATCCGTGTGGGGGCGTGCGTGGGGAGGTTCAGTGCCTGCCGTGCCTGCAGGATCCGTGTCTCGAAAAACTTCACACAGCAGCAGCAGCAGCAGCATCAGCATCAGCTTCCGCAACCGCTGCTGCCGCTGCCGCTGCTGGTGGTCATGGTGTTGGTAGCAGCCAAGCAGCCGGCAAGGGCAAATCGCTCCTCCGCTCCTCCGCTGCTCCTCCACCCCAGGCGAGCCCGCCTCTCCCATGTGCCAGCGACTTCTGCCCCATCTGCTGGGTGGAGCCCATCTGTGCCGCGCCTGCCATCCGCCTGGCTTCATGCGGCCACGTGGTGCATGTGGTGTGTGCGCGGGAGAAGATCCGCCGCTCGTTCCCCGGCCCGGATATCTCCTTTGGGTTCCTCGCGTGCCCGCTGTGCCCCTCCACCACCATGGCCCATCCTGCTCTGCAGGGAGAGCTGGCTGCTTCTCTGGTGCTCAAGAAGCAGGTGGAGGAGCTGGCTGTTGAGAGGATGAGAGCTGAAGGGCTGGTTGGGGGTGGGGGTGCGGCTAATGGAGCGGATGTTGATGGTTGGGATGGTGGGGAAAGAGACAGGGAGAGGCGTGGAGTGCGTGGGAGGCACGATGGCTATGTGCATGGAAATATGGAGGGGTATGGCAATGCTGGCGGAAGGGGTTTACGGAGTGGGAAAGGGAGTGAGAATGGGAGGGAGAGAAGCGGGAGTGGCAGCAGTGCGGGTGGTGATGTGCTGGCTGTGGCGTTGCGGCGATTTCTGTTCTTCCTCTGCTCCCGCTGCCAGCTTCCGTACTTTGGCGGCGACAGGAGGTGCGGCGCCGGACCTGCTGCCGCCGAGCCTGATGATCAGGCTGGGCACGGCGATCCAGGAATGGTTCAGGCAGGAGGAGCGAGGGAGGGCGGAGGGGAGGAAAGGGCAGGGGGGAGAGGAGGTGCGGTGAAGCCAAAGAGCAATGAACTGGTATGTGGTGATTGCCTGGCATCTGAAGCTTTGGCAAAGCAAAGGGCTGCTGCAGCAGCTGCTGCTGTTGCTGCAGAGGAGCAGCGTGGCAAAGAGAGGGGCATGGATAAGGGCAAAGGAAAAGCGGTTGGAGTTTCTGGGGTAGGTGGCAAGGATCAGTTGTGGGAAGCAGGTGAATGCACTGGTAACCATGGCCGGGGCTTCATCCAGTTCAAGTGCCGCTTCTGCTGCTCCACTGCCTCGTACTTCTGTTTTGGCACGACTCATTTCTGTGCTGAGTGCCACGAATCTCGTCCCGACTCTTCGCGGTCCAACTACGTTGTACCTCAGTGTACTGGTGGGGACATTTGCCCGTTGCGCCTGGTGTGGCACCCTCGCGCTCCTGACGAGTTTTGTCTCGGTTGCGCATTGTGTCGGTTACAAGGACAAAAAATGGCACATGGACAGAGAGGAGGGCAGGGTTAGTGTCGTCAGATCGTGGACCAGTTTGCAAGTTGCCAAGGGAACAGACAAAAAACTTGAAGGCACATGGACTTGTATTGTTGTAGCTTTCATCGGTATTGGTAATGTATGACCAATTTGTCCAGCGCTTTTTGCAGTTGAATTGTCAGCACCACTGTACAGAAAATCACAGATGCTATTATTGAGACAACAGGCTGCAGTTCCAAACAAGCACATTCGTTACACTGACCTGTCAACCACGCCTGGCAAACGGTCTGATCGTCAAAACATTTTTGTATGACCAAGGCGCGAGCGGTTCGGCGCCCTCGTGAACTCAAAATCACTGGATGCGCGACGCGGCTGCCACAAATCCAAAAGTCGAATCGATCAAATTGAACTTATCGAACCAATCTGTGGTGTCGCGTCGTGTTCTGTGACATGTCCCCCAAGCGAACAAGGCTTGCAGTTGAGAGAGACTACGAAGGGGGAGAACGAGCAAGTGGATTGATGGCTGTGTGATAGCAAGCGACTAAGAATTAAATGGTCCTGTGAGCTGTCCCTATTCTTTCCCCTTTCCCTTGTTCAAGGGCTCAAGACGAATCGCAAACGGTGTCGTATATGTGACCCGCCATAACGTGGGTGGGACGCAGTCAGTCGAGTTGTTCCCCCCTGACTTGACTGACAGACCAGTCTCGATCAGCCTCCACAACAATCGCCGTTAGTCACGTTACGAGAAGGCGAGCGGACTTCAATCATATCGAGCAGGACCAGTACCCAACGATAGCTTGCTGCTTTCGTTGAACGAGACGAGAACGAGTTCCGTAAATCAATGGAGGTGATCGCGCAGCACTGCATTGCAGGTAGAAGTACGGTAGGGAGACAGCCTGAGATACGGTAGTAAGATTGCAATTGAATGCGCATCTCGCTCCATCGAACTTCCATCCGTCAACCCGTAACGTGATCCTTTCGTCGCCATCGTCTTCCCAGACAGCAGCCCACACAATATTTTCGCACAAACCAAAATGCCCCAAGTACAGTTCCTACGAAGGCCAGCCCCCGAACATTTATTCTGTAGTACTAGCTAGTACAAGCCAACTATCTCACGTGCGCTTTTCTCGTTCACTTCGCTCCCAAGTACAAGGTCCTTGTTCTTCACGAGGCTCCTGGCCCAGCGACACCAATCCCAAAGAATCAAATCTGTTGCCACCGCCGCCACCACCCCGGTCGTTCAACTCCGCCGTCATCGTCCCGGTCGCTCCAGTGGGCTTCCACTTTCACGAGGCGCGATGCCCACTTTCTCACGCTTATCGTCCCACCCCTCGCCGCATGATACAACCGCTACGTCGCAGAATGGCATTCCGCCGCACAATCCGCCAACGGTCACTCTCATACTCCCCGATGGCTCCGCGCAGCATTTCCCCCGCACCCTCACCGTGCGAGAGGCGCTTGTTCTGCTCGCGTTGCCTTGCCCCTTCGACGCCGCGGAAACTCCGCCTGCAGCCCCGCCGCCTCCGCCGTTAGCGCCGAGGTCCGCGGCGGAAGCCTCGTTTGCTTCATCGGCGGAGAACCCCCGCCGCACGCCCCAGCAGGATCCGCGGTTGGCAAATCTCCCCCTTGCCATCTCCGCCCCGGCGCGCGGAATATTCGTGAAGGAGCGGCGGAAGTTGCTGAAGGCGGAACTGCTGCGACCCGGTCGAACCTACCACGTGTATAGACCGAGTGCTGCTAATAGTACTGAGTCTGCTGCACCTACGCAGAGACTCGACACGGGGAGGATTGGGGCCATTGGTGGCGGCGACGAGGGGTCGAAGGAAGCAAAACGAGGCGGTCGCAAGCCGGCGAAGGGGGGACGTGACGAGCGGCGGCAGGCGCGGAGGCAGGGCGACGAGAGGAGATATTCCAGCAACAAGGTGCGGAGATGGGTTTGTCGTGTTTCCGCACAGCATTGATTTTGTCCCATGATTTCGGCGCAGTATCAATGTCGGAAGGAAGTCGTATTGTTCCGCATCCCCCCCGCCTCCCCGCCCCCCCGGCCTCCCGCAACAGCTTCCCTGTGCGAGTCGCGTCACTTCCCCTCCATCACCTCCGCCGCACGACTTTCCTCTTTCCCCTTTTCAGCTCCTTCCTGCAGCCGCCCCTCTCTTCATTCCCTCCCCTCGAGGCACCCGCTCCCCCATAGTTCCCCTACCCTTCTCGCCCACTTCTCGCCCCTTCCCATCCCCTTCCCATCCCCCCCTCGTCCCCCGTCCCCCGTCCCCCGTCCCTCCCCGGTTCTCAGGTCTGGCCCCTCGCGCCTCTCCAGTCGTCCGCCAACTCCCCTCCGCGAATTCCGCGCGTCGTCGTTCCTTCCGCTGCGCCGGCGCGCACCTCCGCTCCTTGCGGCGGAAGTGACTCCGCCGGAAAAGGCGGCGGCAGGAACACGGAGGACGGCCATGGGAATGACGAGGCCCTCTTGTCGCCTTCTGACTCGTGCATGTGCGTGGGCAGGCTTGGGGTTCCGAAACAAGAGAGGTATGAGGAATTTGGGTGGGACGAGAGAGCGGAGGGAGAGGATAGAGAGGACAGAGAGGGCTCAAAGGGCGAAGGAGGGGAGGCGGAGAGGGTCGAGGAGGGAGAGGACAGGGAGGAGGCGAGGGAGGAGGAGGGGGAGGAAGACGCGGGGGAGGGAGGAACTGGGGAGGGTGGAATGGGTGCGAAGGAGAGCCTGCGAGGGGGCTGCGGCGGCTTCTGGAAGAAGCCAGCAGGGAAGATCAATGTTGATTGTAGCAACGAGAGCGGTACTAACCACGATAACGAGGGCCATGCTGCTAGTAACAACGAGAGCAAGCTCACCTACCCGCCGTATCCCTTTGCCACCACACTTGCGCTGCCACTGGCGCGCTCCCCGATCCGGGCCCTTCTGTCTTCCCCTCCTGCCCCTTGCTCCCGCGCCGAGCGGGAAAAGGGGAAGCCGTTTACCCTTGCGAGTATGACTGCGCCTATCCGCGCCCCTATCTTCCCCGCGAGCGCCGCCTCTCCTGCCCCCGGAGTGGGGGCGCCGAGCGGAAATCCGAACGCCCGCGCGCGTGCGCGTGCGGGTGCGGGTGCGGGTGCGGGTGCGGGTGCGGGTGGCTTGGCGGGAGGCACGCGGGAGAATGGTGGGGCGCCTGAGCAGTCGGCGCGCAGCAGCAGTGGTGCTGCTGCTGCCAGTGCTCGCAACTGTTGCGAGGGCAGAAGCAGTGAGCACGAGAGTCATGTGCGTGGTGGTGATTCCGATGACACAGGTAATAACGTTGACGGTGGTGATGGTGGTGGTCCGGGTGGTGGTGGTGGTGGGGGTGAGAGGTGCAGGGAAGAGAGTGTGAAGAGAGTAGACGGGGGAGGAGGATCGGCTCTGTGGCATGTGATGAGGAGGTGTGGGATCGGCAGTTCCAGGGGAACGGACAGCACAAGCAAGAAAGCCAGCAGCAGCAGTAGCGGCGGGGGCAGCAGCAGCAGTGGCAGGCGATGGGGTGGTAGGACTGCCATGAGGAGTGCCAAGGTGGCCCCTTGGAACAACGGCAGCAGCGGCAGCGGCAGCAGCAGCGCCGCGAGCAGCGTGGGGAGCGGTGATGGTGACAGCACGGCAGCAAGGAGCAGTAGTGTGGGTGACAGCAGTGAGATGAGGGCAGGCGCTGGGGCGGCAGGTGCTGCTGCTGCTGCTGCTGGTACTGCTGCTCTGTGGGGCGTGAAGGGAGGAGGAGGAGGAGGAGGGACGGGGTTGTCAGAGGTGAGTGGGTTGTGGTTGCTGGATAAACACTTGGCTGCTGCAGCAGAGGACAGCGCTTCTGGTCGAGCTGCTGCTGGTGATGATGACGACGATGATTCGGATGCGGACAGTGATGCGAGGGAGATGGCGTTTCTACACAAGCAGCTGCAGATGTACCGTCTCTCCTGCCCCATCGCCCCTGCCCTGCCGCGCAGCAGCAGACGGCGCCGCTCCTGTGGGGGCAGCATGGGCATCACATGGCGGCCGAAACTGCCAGGAATAGCTGAGGCCGCGGGGGAGGGTGGGGAGGGCAGTGACCACACTGGAGAAGGCGAGGCGAGGACTGCTTGAGGCAGGGGAGGGGAGGGGATGCGGTGCAGGGAGGGAGCGGTTGACTGTCCTTGAGTAGACATGATTGCGTGGGTGCTAACCGGCCTCTTCAGGTCCTGGTGATTATTATGATGATGATGACGATCAGAAGCTACTTCTTAGTTAATTCTACTCTTTGGATTGTTGTAGTTCAACAACGTGTAGTGTACATGTGTAGTCTACTACCTACTACAGAAGCTTGTTTTGTTGAAATTGATGCAGATGTGAAAGGCTTGAGGCTTGCATAAACAGTTGCCATTATGACATACACCCATTACAAACAAGACACCATGACTAACCTATTGAGCGCACATAACCACCACCCCATTATTGCAGCCCCCCCCCCACCAATCAGCACTAGTACCAATAATACTAGAACCACCACAACACTAGTGCTTGTGGCGACAGCAGACCTTATTTCCCATGCCAATGCACAGTGGCGCTCTCAGACACCACAAAGCAGGAGGCGCACGTGGCAGTTTCGATTCATGATGCCTCATGCCTCATCCTCCCTGCTGCCCCTTCATGCTCCCTGCAGCCTGTTCAGGCTGTAAGAACTCTGTCACCAAAGTGCTCTTATTGCCGCTGCTGCTCTGTGTTTACTGCCTTGTAGCTGCTTCTTAGTAACCGTTCTTCTGTAACCAGTGCTCGACCTTGCTCGCCCGTCCTCGTTCTCTTGCTGCACAGCACCATAGCACATCAGCTTCCAGCTTGCAGCCTCTCCTGCCCCACACATGCATCATCCTCTCTGCCCAATCCCCCGTCCGTCATCACCACCGGGGGCAGCCCATTCCTGCTTCAGCAACAGCTGCGGCGGCCGCCGCCGCCGCCGCAGCAGCAGCGGCAGCAGCAGCAGCAGCAGCAGCGGCAGCAGCAGCAGCAGCAGCAGCAGCAGCAGCAGCAGCAGCAGCAGCAGCAGCAGCAGCAGCAGCAGCAGCAGCAGCAGCAGCAGCAGCAGCAGCAGCAGCAGCAGCAGCAGCAGCAGCAGCAGCAGCAGCAGCAGCAGCAGCAGCAGCAGCAGCAGTAGCAGCAGCAGCAGCAGCAGCAGTGCTCTACCCATCCTCCCAGGTCACCTGGGCCTCCATGTCGTCATCAATCGTCACACGCGGTCGTTTGGCCCCCGAAGGCACCCCCTTGCCCAGATCCTCGCACTCCACCTGCAGCCGCCGCTTGTTTAATCGACTCAGAAGTACGCAGCATCGCGCTACCCGTCCTCCCAGGTCACCTGGGTCTCCATGTCGTCATCAATCGTCATGCGCGGTTGCTTCGCCCGCGGACACAGCCCCTTCTTTTTTCAGCAGCAGCAGAAGCCACAGCCGTCGTAGCCACAGCAGTATCATCAGCAGCGTCTCGCTACCCATCCTCCCAGGTCACCTGGGTCTCCATGTCGTCATCAATCGTCACGCGCGGTCGTTTGGCCCCCGGGGGCAGCCCCTTGCCCAGCTCCTCGCACTCCACCTGCAGGCGCCGCACCTCGCGCTTGAGCAGCCCGATGTAGTTCACCGCCTCGTCCAGCATCGTCGCCGTGTCCATGCGCGGGTTCCAGATGGGCAGGGTCTCCTTCAGGTTGTCCAGTCGCTCGCTGTTTTGAGAATAGTGGGAGGGACAAGGAATGGGAGATGATGAGATGTGGGTCACAGCTGCGTCCAGCATCGTCACCATGTCCATGCGTGGGTTCCAGATGGGCAGGGTCTCCTTCAGATTGTCCAAACGCTCGCTGTAGGGAGGGGAGTGGGAGCGACAAGGAATGAGAGATGATGAGATGTGGGTCACAGCTGCATACAGCATAGTGGCTGCTGTGTCCATGTGCGGGTTTCAGATGGAGAGCGTCTCCTTCAGGTTGTCTAGTCGCTCGCTGTTTTGAGGTGTGAGGGAGGGACAAGGAACGAGAGCTGATGAGATGTGGGTCACAGCCACGTCCAGCATCTAGGCAGTGTCCATGCGCGGGATCCAAAAAAGCAGGGTCCACCATTGAGGTTGTCTAGTCGCTCGCTGGTTGGGGTAAAGTGGGAGCAAAGAGAAGGGGACGGAACATGTGAAGGGGCGGAACGAGAGGGTGTGAGGGTGTACGCATGTGGGGGCGTGTGCACTCGCCGTGTGAGCATGTGCGTGCGTGCGTGTGGGCGTGCGTGAGCAGGTGCGTGTGTACGTGCGTGAGTGCGTGCGCACGTGCCAGTCTGTCTCCATGCCATCAGTACCTGATCTTGCTGCGTCGCTTCCTCTCCGCCACGCTCCGAGGTCGAGTGGACTGCTGTGTTCCATTCCGCAACGACTGCAGCAACAACTCTCTCCTACGCTCCCTCTCCCTCTGCTCCTTACCCGCCTCCTCCTCTTGCTCATTCGCCTCCCCCTCGTCCTCCTCCTCCCCCTGAAACCCCTCGTGGCTGTTCCGCTCTGTACCGCCCTGTTCCTCTCCCTGCCGCTGCTGCAATTGCTGTTGCTGTTGCTGCTGCCTGCTAGCATCTACCCTTGAGGCACCTTCTTCACTCCCCTTGCATGCCTGGCGGTCAGAATCACCACGGGGAGTTGAGAGCAAGGGAGAAGATTAGCATCCGACTGACTGGGAGATCAGTGGGCATGCGATAGGGTGCTTTTGAGAATTCTCAAAAACACCCTGCAGTGCAGCATCATGGACTCAGTGAGCTTGTGTGCAGTGCAGCGATCTTGTGAGCTTACGATAGGCCGGGCAACATCCATGCTAGAATCGTTCCAAGTGTCAGGCAGGAAATCAAGGGCCAGAGGGATGTGTGGGAACGGAACGAGGAGAGGAGGCGGAGGGTGAGGAAAGAGGAAGGAGATTCAGGCTTCAGTTACCAGTGATCGTGATCGTGATACTGATGAGAATTCTCAAAAGTTACATTATCGTGACTTGGCTGGGCTGGGCTAGGCTCCTGCTACTGCTACACGACTCATGAGGCGTCTCAGAAGGAGGTTGAAGGGAGAAGAAGGGGATACAGGCTTACAGCCTTCACTTACCAGTGACCGTGACGTGCCTGGGCTGCTGCTAGACGTGCCTTGACTGCCCTCTGCTGCTCCGCCTCCCCCTGCTGCTGCCTGCACCACTGGTGCCCTTTGCACAACACCAGCAGCAGCACCAGCAGGAGCACAGGCAGCACCGCTAGCTGAACGAGCACCACAGGCAACAGCACCACGGGTAGCAACAACAGCAGCAGATGCTGTAGCGGCAGGGTTGGAGGTCACTGGACGATCGCTGAGGGTGTCAGCTGCACGCTGCTGGGGTGGTGCTAAGCGCTCCCTCGCATGCGGGTTCAACACTGGCCATTGCCGCTCCTGCTGTTCCTGCTGCTGCTGCTGCTGCATACGGTACTGATACAATCGCATGCCTCCAGCAGCAGCAGAACCACCACCGCCACCAACACCACCACCACCACCACCAACACCACCACCACCATTGCCACCACCATTAACACCATCACCGCCAGCGCCAGCGCCATTTCTTTCATTAGAGCCGCCACCACTCCCACCACCACCAGCAGCAGCAGCAGCAGAAGCTGCCACAGGAGATTCAGCCCAAAAGCCGGGTGCTGCACAGTTCCCTGCCACACCAACACCAGTACGCACCGCAGCAGCCGCAGTGGGCCCGAACGGAGGATACGAGTGGATACCAGGAGACGATACAGCCGCACCCTCCCCTTCCATCATGCGCTCGCGCGTGTGTGCAGCAGGTGCGGCATCAGCAAAGGCAGCACCACGAGTGGCAGCTGTAGCAGGAGAAGCAGTAGCGGCTGTAGCAGGCACAGCAGGTGCGGTGGCTGATGTGTTGGTTAGAGGCGCAGTGGTTGTGAAGTGATTAGCAGCAGACGGAGCTACTGGTCCGATTGAAGTGACTTTGCTTCTGCTGCTTGCAAGGAGAGCAAGGGAGGGAAGACGACTGGATCCAGCACCAGCCCATGCTGCTGGTGGTGTCGTTGCTATTGCTGATGCTGCCGCTTCAGTAGTGGTGGCGGTAGGGGTGGCGGTGCAAGCACCAGGCATAACAGCAACCGGAGCAGCAGACACCAATCTCAGACCGATGAAAGAATTCACTCCAGACTGCTTCGCATGACTTACAGTGGCACTCATAGGGCCAGAGGGGAGCACAGGAAGAGAGGGAAGGACAAGCGGTGAAGAGCTTCGTGTCATGGGATAATGGTAAGGTTCCTGGTCGTTCGGGTTGTGGTGGTGCTGCTGCTGCTGTTGCTGCGGCTGCGGTTCCTCCTGGCGGATGTGAAGCTGCACTGATCCCACGCGGTTCTCCGAGCCTGTTCGAGGCAGGTGAAACAGGCGAGAAGAGTGAGAGGAACGAGACGGGGCTCTTGACATGGTCGGTGGAGATCCCAGGGAGATTTGAACATCCAGCTCCTCTTGATTTTCCACCCCGGCTTTTTTCTCCTGCCCTGTCTCCATCGCCGACGCAGCAGGAAATGTTGCCCCCCCTGGCGCCTGAACCTGGTTCATAGTTGATACATTCGCCCGTGCTGGTACCCCGTTCCCTCTCACCGCATCAGTAGCAACAGCAGCATACGCAGCAGTACCAGCAGGAGCAGTCTCCTCCCTCTCATCCATAGTAGTCCAGTCGCACCCCAGCCCCCGTTTAAACCCTCTCCCTCTCCCTCCACCCCCACCCCGTCCTCCTCTTCCTCCCCCTCCGCTTCTCCGCCCTCCACATGCACCCGCCCCCGCGCCTGCGCCCCCTCCACCAAAGCCCCCCCCATGCCCCTCCTCATCCCCACCGCCTGGAAAACACCCCGCCCCCGCCGCCGCACCCGCCGCCTCTGCCCCCCCACGCGCTGCACACACCCCACTCCTCCAATCCCCACTTCTGCCGCTTTCACTGCCCGACCCGTTACTACAGAAGGCAGCACCGGCAGCAGCAGCAGCAGCGGCAGCGGCAGCAGGGTGACGAGGGGGAGGGGGAGGAGGAGGAGGAACAGCAGCGGCAGGGATCATGGGCGTAATCCATCCGCGGATCCGCGCACGGCCCTGGTGAATCGCCTCCTGTCCAGCACAACGGATAGCAGTCGTACCAGCAGCAGCAGCAGCAGTAGACGAGTCATGTTGAGTCACGGGCAGAGACAAGGACAGAGCAGCAGCAGGATGGTGGCTTGCATGGTTCCAACTTCCGCCGCCGCTGCCCTCCCCAATTCCTCCTCCTCCTCCTCCTCCTCCTCCCATCCGTACCCCCTGCAGCCCAGGTGATTCCAAAGCTCCCCGAGTGGGTCCCGACCGGTGGCCTTCAACAGGGGAGTAGGAAGAAGCCCCCATGGGACTCCTACCCAGCGTGGTGTTTCTGGTAGTCAAGTCCACGTCAGCAGCAGTCCCAGTAGCAGTAGTAGCAGGACCGGTCGCAGCAACAGACGTAGTAGTCGTGCTTGTAGCAGTGCTGCTAGGAGTGGTAGTAGCGATTATGTGAGTCGTCTTGCACCGTGCTGCTTCCTCTGGAACGTGCGAGTTTCCCCAGGTCACCACACAGGCGCTCTCTCTTCCCTGCGGCCCTCTCTGCTCTCGTTCTCTCTCCCCCCTCTGAAAAAATGACTGAGCCTCAGGCGCAGCAGCAGCAGCAGCAGCTTGTCCGGACCAGTCCGTCTTGATGTGCCGCTCTCCTCCCTCTCCTCGCTCTCCTCGCTCCCTCGCCCCCTCTACTGCTTCTGGCGGCAGTAACCCTACACCAGCACTGCTGGCAGCCGGCAGCGGCGCTGTGCCCTCCGCTGTTTCCGTAAAGAACTGGTACCTGGAAACTATGGGGCTCGCTTCTCTCTCCCTCTTCAGGTTACCGCCGCCGCCGCCCAGTGGCAGCGCCGCCGCTTCTGCCGCCGCAAATGCCGCCGCCGCCGCCGCCGCCGGCGTGTGGCTGATGCCGCCGGTGTTACAATAGTTAGTATGAATTGCAGTAGTGTTAGCACTACACGGGAAGTTGCTGCTGCCTGAAGTGCTCAGGCTAGTGCTCAAGCTAGTGCTCAGGCTTGGGGGGGCCCTTGGAGGGTTCCGCCCCGGCAGGAGCACTGATCCTCCGGCGTCTTGCCGCTGGCCGCCGCCGCGACTGCCACCAGCGGGAATCCAAGCAGGCCGCGGCGGCGCTTCAACTTGAACGTGACGTTCCGCGGCTGTGATCGGTGGCGATCCGGCTTGGAATGCCGCGTCGATAACTTCGGCGGCGATGGCGCTAGTAGTACTAGTAGTAGTAGTGTTACTACTAAATGATCCTCCTCCTCGGACGAGGAGTCCAGGGGAAGGCTCTGCAGACAGGAAAGGCGGCCCGGGAATGTGCGCTGGCAGAAACGCCGCCGTGGCTTCTTGACGGTGATTTTGAAGGCGGTGGGAGTTGTCGTGACGGTGACCAAGCCTCATCATGTAGTTAGTGGTGACTGCTGCTAGTATTACTATACTCTTGTACTGCTACTAGTACGCGGTCGTGACTCAGATCATTGTCAATGCTCAGCCGCTGCGGTAGATTAAGCAAGCCGAACAGGTATACTACTACTACTAGTAGCGTCGCCGCAAGCCGAGACGCAAATACTATCTGCTTCAAGCGGAAATCTGCCAGGAGAGACGTCGGCTCAGTTACGTCGTAAATAAATAACGTTGTCCAACCTTAGGGGGCGAGGAGGGGTCGTGTTTGGGAGCACAGTGACGCACCGCCCGGTACATTCTGCCACCGTTTTGGAAGTAACCGCGAGACCCAGAGGTTCTGTGCAGAAAATTATGGGATGAGATGAGAACTTCAACTTCTCAACTTGGAATGTGTGAGCAAATGAGGGAGAGGAGACTACAGAACTATGTTTGTGTCGATTTATACAGTAGTCTGTTCCCAACCTGTGATGAAGGGTGACGGGTGGTGGGGGGAATAGTGGGCGGGGAAGTGAGGGGCGTGCGAGAAAGTGAATGAATTTGAACCGATATCAGTATCAAGGGGCTGATGAACAGAAATTTTAGAAACGAGCAGTGCACGACACGGCTTGCTCAGAACCAACATGGAGGGGAGATTGAGCAATTCGGTACGTCATTTCTTTTTTTTACTTCGGCTGAGGCTGATTTCTTTTGAAGGAAAAGAAAATCCTGACGTTGAAGAAAAACACATGACGTACACAACACATCACATACACAACGTACTATCACCTTTATTCCAAGGCTTCTGTAGTCAAGGCCAGAACTATACTGTTGGTGATTTGAGAATCTGCATTATAGGAATATATGGTTTTCTTCCTTTAATAGTTTAATATAACAGTAACATTCTTATTTATATTCTTGCAAAAAAATTCAAATTATAATTAAAATTATATGCAAAATAATGTAACTCTATCTAAGAATACAAACGATAAAGTTTCGCCTCTTAATCAAGATATCCCATATCAGAAAAACAGTTAAAGTACGATGTATAAAGTACACTATATATGACTCAATTCGAAATGTCATGTGAAAGAAATGTTTATATTTGTGTAAAATACACGCTAGAAATTCAATTTAATATTATTGTGGTTATTTAGATGAACTATCTAGTAGAAAATGTCCAGACTAAATATATTTTGTTCTTATTAGAAAATCTTCTTCAAAACATTATGATATTTTCACAAGTCTTTAGAATTTTCTTTTGAAGAAAAAAACAAGCAAAATACATAACTTACACAAAACTAATAAATAACACAAATGGATACTATTTGGTATTTATAAATCATGCTAATCAATATTTTTTTAACTGAACAATATTGAAATTCCTTTAAAACTTAATACTTATTACTATTACATAATAGATCTAGTTTTGTGTCTATTACCATGTCATTTTTTGACACACCTTTAGAAAAAAAATGTAAGTGCTGTTCAATATAGGCAAAAAAACCAGCCAACAAATCGCAACTACTGAGTGTTAGTAAATGTTAAACTCAAATGTTGATCGTAGTCAATTTAAATGTACATTTAAAAAAAATGGTCGGAAAGGCTAGCATCATAATAGGAACACATATAACATCTTCCAGAGGCCTAGGGAGAAGCTGTATATTGGAACCATTTTACGTGGGTTGATATGAGTTCTCGAGGAAACAATAGTATCGAAGGTCAGGATGAATGAATTTACGGTCACACCTGTCAAAAAAAAAAAGGAAGTCTATTTATAAAACAGGGGGTTTGTTGTCAGTTTTTGGTATATAGGCGACTGTTTTTCCACATAAAAAGCTTGAATGCAATGGGAAATTAGGTTAGGATCACCTAAACGATCTAGAAACAAAAGGAGAGCTAGTTGTTCAACTAATTTCTTTTGTTGGTTGATCCTAGTCAAATTATTTCGAATGCTATGTGGACTTATGCTGTATATCTCCCGAATGGCGATTCCGGAGGGGGATCTGAAGTGGTAGGGGAAAGGGTTGGGGCAGAAAGGAAAAAATCGGCTGGAGTTCGTGGTCGCGGATTCGTCAGCTCGTGTTGCGTTGTGGGCTGGATGGCGGTGTTTGTGGAGGAGAAAGGGTGGAGAGGAAAAGAAAAGTTGGAATGGGAAGAAAGTCAGGCGGAAGTTTGTGGATTCGGTGCGATGTGGTGCGTTGTGGTGGTGGAACACGGTGAGTAGTGTGGATAGTCTGAAATGTTGGGGACTTCTGCTTGACCCAGTGGATAGCCAGCCAAGACCCTAATGACCACAAGGAAACCTGAGTTCATGGTGTTCATGTTGGTGTTCTCCGAGGGAGGCATCAACCTAAATCACAGGGAGGCATGGATTTAGGGTTGATGCCTCCCGAACAGGCTGTCGATATCCCTGGGGGCAGAACTTGAGGCCCCCAGCTGCTGGAATTCTGACCCTGATTTTCAGGTAGGTGACCAAATTTTCGCCCTTAACGGTCACGGGTGCAGGCCGAAGTGTAAACTTGAAATCCGGGCTCCAATGTGCTGTGTACTTAACTAACCTAAACAGCATTATAGACAAGAAAATCACATACTTTTCACTACTAACCACTCCAGTCAACCTGTATGTCACAACTTCCAACTACAACTACAGCTGCACTACCTACTGCATTTCTACTCATCTCCTGACTTCGACACTACACACACACACTAGATTGGATAAAAATCAAGTGAAACATCCTCCACCTGGTGCCCTATTGTGTAACTTTCATGGAGAGGGGGGGTAAGGGGAGGGGGGTGTTCCGCAAGATTTTAGGGGGGCGGTCTGCGGAACCGAAAGTAGAACTTAGATTCAGGGGATGGCCCAGATTGAGCACTTAACGCGTCCGGGGAGGGCCAAACGATGCCCTTCACTGGCACGGGTGCCAGTATAATCAAACCCTTAAAATGGTCGAGATGTGCCGAACATAACCCGGAATGTTCAGGGCATTAAGGGCAAATGCCTTTAATGCCCAAGTCCTGCTCCCGACCCCGGGCGACGACCTGAACGTGCTGAGATATATCGGCGGTCCAGTTCAGCTGGTAGGGAAGAGGTGAGGGACCCTCCGTTCTCTAACTGTTTTAGGTTCGGAACTTAGCTGAGATGAGTGGCTCGGGAACCAGGGACAGCGACATGCCTGACGTGTGTGATTTGGCTCAAGCTGTTCCCCCATGCAACGGTGGACGGGTCAGTCAGTGGCTGAAACAACCCATCGTGATCGCCTAATCAGCATGAATACTGGCAAGGGACTGCATCATCCAGTCGACGTTGTGGTGTTGTGTAACTAGGTGTGCTCCTCTGTGCACGCGTACTGCACTGCGATTTTTGTTTTCTTTCAGATAAGTACAGCTACTCCCAGATTCTGACGGTTTCTTCGATCATGGCACGCCCTCACAACGCTACATCCGAAATGTAACGTTCGTTGCTCTCTTAGAACTGACCTTCACGCATAACAAAATACAAGAGGATGTGCACCAACTTCGGATACTTCTAGTGTAATGAATAAAACTGTTAAGGGTGCTATGAATCGAGGTAGCGAGGATTGCACTAAGGTGTCAAAACGAGTACAAAGATGTGAACGAAGGCATGAGCGAACATTTATATGCGAAACATGCAAACGGTAACGCGGTGCGTGCGAGCTAGCTAGTGCTATGCTGGCAGCGAGGCTCGGGCTAGTCCCGAAGCGTAGGCCGACACGGCCGGGCCAGCAATGCGAGGTTTGGCAAAACAGTGCGCGCGAAGTTGGCGAAGCCCCGTTAGCGGTAACGGGCGAACAACGGCTGTTGCTGTACGCAATGTAGTCGGGCTCCGTAAGGAATGCCGAGAAAATTCCTTACACGACCCCCCCCCTCCAAGAAGCCCCCTCCGCTACGCGAGTGCGTGTATATCGCGGAATCCC